AGCTAAATAAAATATTTATTTTAAATTATTATTTCAGTCAGTATAGATGTTGGAATAGATTTATTAGGTTGAGAAGGAATAGGGTTATTTGCTTTTATAGCATCGATAAGCTGTATTAATACGGCACCACCAGTTAATCTAAGATTTTGTAAGTTATTCATATCGGTATCATATCCAAATCAAGCAATACCATATTTAACGAATAAAATTAATTCTGGTAAAAAAATAGTTTTACTTTGATCTATTCTAAAAAATAACGCATCTTCTAAATCGATAGGTTTATCTTTGTTTATAGCCACGTTAGCCAAGTGTGTATTATCAATTTTTTCTTGTAAGGCTAAAGAATCCACAGTTACCGTTACTCTTCATGCGATATTTGGACTAAATTCACCTTTTTGTTTATCGCAACCAAATGAAAGAATCTCATCTGAGGTAGGTTTTTCTGGTAAGCAAAACAGCATTCTAGGATCTTTTCTAGGTTCTTGTAATCCATCATGGGCCATATATATTGGTATTTTAAAAGTATATTCATATAGTTCACAAACACAGAAATTCTGAATTTCTTTGATCTTTGTATTGATATCGATTGGTCTATCTACAGAGTTTATAACTTCCTATTTATCATTTATTCTACTTTGTATATCATTATCTGTAATATCAAATCTCGTAACACTGGGTTTAAAAAAATCATACATTTTACTAATATCCTTATTTTTTCAAAATTCACTATTTTTACAAGCTAAGAATGTTACAGTTACGATAAAAGGTCTTGGTAGTTTGTAAACTTTAAAGTCACCATAATCTTTACTAATCATATTCAATATGATTCTAAAACCAAATTTTGAATATATCACTCTCAATTTCATTCTAGGAGCTTTAGGAGCTTTTTTATTATTGGTTGTTTGACTGAATTTATTCCATTTGACTAAAGATCTTAAAGCAAAATTATCTTTTGTATATTTTGGTTTACCAATTTTAATTGTTTTTTCTTCAGTTTTGCCTTCGATTTCTTCTACTTGAACTTCTTTAAAAAATGTTTCAAAATCATCAACATGGAAAACATCACCAAAAAATATATTTCTAATATTATCTATTAATTTATCTGTGATAGTCTTTTTTCTCCTGTCATCATCATCTTCAGGATTACAGATATTAATACAAGGTAAATTTAACAAACAAGATCCTAGTAATATTTTTGAGGCTATTTTCATTTCATAGTACATCCCCAATTTATCAACATCCTATTCAAAAAATTTTTTAAAACATTATCATATTTTTTTTTAGCTATTCTTACAGGTGCCATTTCAAGATTTAAAACAAGCCTTGAGTTGTTGTTGTAAATAAGTTAATTTTTTGTTACTATTTCCTTTTTGATCCTTTTTAGTATTAGGATTTTGATTTTTTTTTGCATCTTTCTTTTTGAATTCTTCAAAATTAAGTATATTTTTATTTTTATTGTTTGATTTGATTTCTTGCACAACATCTTCCCCAATTAATTTTCTTCTATTTATAAGATTAATTGTAAAATAACCAAACTTCTTTCTTTGATGTCTTTATTATTTTCTCTTTGTAACTTATCTATTCATTTTTTAAGTTCAGACTTTTCAGCATCAAGTAATGAATTGTTGATTTCAAAATTTTTTTTTATCAATTTCCTTTTGTTTATCTTTAATGTTTTTATTAATTAATTTTAATTTACTTATTAGATCAGTTCTTTTGATCCTTTATCCAAATCTTTTTTAGGTTTTTTATTTGCAAATGTGCTATCTGAATTCTGTCTTTATTTAGTATTTTTATCAGATGTGATATTATTAAAACTTTTTTTATATGCCGCAAATGAATTAGTGTTATTATTAGCTGTTTAAAATATCAATTTGGATATTTCTAGCAAACCACTATCTAAAAATTTGATTAATTTATAATAAGAGCTGCTAAAAGCAATCAAGAAATCTTGAATGATATTAAATTTTTTTTTAAATTCTACCAACTTTATAAAAATTAACAATTTTTTTATAATATTATAATTAAGTAGTCACTAGATTGTTACTAAATTGATACTATTTTTTTTTATATTAATATAAAATTGTTACAATGAAGTTACAATTATGGTAATCACATCATAACAATATTATATCAATATTTAAAATAAATCAAATTGCA